AACAACAACAACAACAACAACATATTAAAAGCAACAGTATGGAACAGGACAAACATTGCACAGGGAATGGGGGGGGAGGAAAATGTGCATGCGTGGATGAAAACCAATTTCTTTGTGAACCTTCACTAAAATGAAAAAAAAAGAAATTAGAGTACTCTTGTTGGCATCAAGCTGATTCTAATTCATAGTGACCTCGTAGAGTTTCCAAGCCTGTAACCTTTACAGAAGCAGACTTCCAAGTCTTTTTCCTTTGGAGCAGCTAGTAGGTTTGAACTGCTAACCTTGTGGTCAGCAGATGAATGTTTAACTATTACACTGCCAGTGTTCTCTAATTTAGGACTGTCGTTTTCAAACGTTTATATCTATTATACTATAATGGAGAGTTGGTTGAAACAATTTCCTGGGTCATGTCCAGAGATTTGGATTTAATAGTTTAGGGTAGGGTTCATGAATTTGTATTTACAACAACCTGGCTGCTCCTGTTGATAGGTGCTATCAAGTCAAGTACGACTCACAGTGACCCTATGAACAGTGGATCTAAACTCTGTCCTATTCAGTGCCATCCTCATCATCTCTGACATACCCAAGTCCACTGCTGCAGTCACTATCCGTACATCTATTTGAGGGGATTCTTTTTCTCTTTTGCTGACTCTCCACTTTTCCAGGCATGATGTCCCTTTCCAAGGAATGGTTCCTCCTAAAAACATGCCCAAGGTATATGAGGACAAAGTTTCACCATCCTTGCCTTAAAACCCAGATTTCACTTTCTCCAAGACAGACCTGTTTGGTGCTTTGGAAGACAATGGGATATTCAGCAGTCTTCTTCAATACTACAACTCAGTGATCAATTCTTCTGTCATGCTTAATTGACTGTCCTGTTCTCAGATGCACAGCAAGTTATTGAAAAGACCACGTTCTGTTTCAGGTGCACCTTAGTCTTTAAACTGACATCATACTCTTTACTACTTTGGAGATGTCTTTGACTGTGGACTTCCCCAGTACAAGGTGTCTTTTGATTTCTTGACTACTGGATTGTGTCACTTGCACATCACAGGCTGTTAATGAGCCTTCTTCCAACCTTGATGCTGGATTCTCCTTCACATGACCCAGCCTCTTGGATGATTTCATTCAGTATACAAGGAGACTGGCTCAGGACAGGGAAGGGTTCAGAGCTGTTGTACATGGGGTCACTATATATTGAGGTGACTCAATGGCACATAACAACAATAACATACTATGGCAGGTTTGGAAGCAGGAGTGGCATCCACTTCCTAAACAACATGCCTCCGGAAACTCTTATGAACTTTGATAAATGTC